GGAAGGAAAACCAGCACACTGCCCCGCTCTGATGAAGTCCTGCCACCTCCTGTCTCTGCTATTCTGCTCATACACAAACATACATAATTATTACTTCATCTGTCTGACCATTTGGTAAAGCAGTCAAATGTGCTAAAATATTAAGGCCTCACCTGGAATCTTTGCCCTCCATCTCATCAAAGCTCTGGATGAGACTGATGGCAAGATTGTACATCTCCACTGTGATGTGAGGGTCATCTGTATGAGGCAACTCAACCTGATAAACACACACACACAGAATATACACATTAACTATGTGGCTTCAATACAAAGAAACAGTAGCATCAGCAAACATCTACTATCTAAATACCCTGCATGAAAACAGTCTGTGGAGGTCATCCAGATAAAACTCCTCAATGGCATAGGGCGCCCCCTCCACTTCAAACACATAGGCTGGGTTCATCTTCCCCCGAATTTGGGTGCCGAAGTACTCAGCAAACTGTCTGCAGTTAATGGTGGCTGACATAAGGATGATCTAAAAGAACAAAACAAAAACGTAGTTGAGAGACTGAGAGTTCAACTGATGCAGATTTCTACTAGATCTTGCAATTACCTTCACATAAGGAGAGTTGGAATGAAGAAGTTTTCTCAAAACCAACAGGAGAAAGTCCATCTCCTCAGCACGCTCATGAACCTTGGGCAAATGCAGAGTAGAAATGGTAGTCAAGAATCACCAATTAGATCATAGTACCAAATGAAACCTGAAACCCCTGCAGCAACATAATACTGACGGAACCCCATAAAAGACAAAAACACCACACAATACAACAAACAACTAAATAAAAAGATAAACTTTAATTTAACAAGGCGTAGTGAGCTGCATTTTACCATTAACAAAAATATTTTTAAAAGAAGCAAAAAAACTGCTTATTTTAAAGATACCAGTTAACAAAGAAATGCACATAAAAATAATCTGCCATAATGTTGTTTATGCACCTCATCTACGAAAATGTGGGAGTACTCTGTGAGGCACTTGGCTGAAACCAGTTTTTGCAGCAGCACTCCTGTAGTCATGTAAATCAGCCGGGTGTGCTCAGTTGCCATCTTCTCCAGTCCAACCTAAAACACAAATATACAAAGTTGTATTAGTAGATATGGTCAACAACACACAAACTATAAAATAACAGTTTCTGACACTCATGCTTTGGGGTTTCTGACATTAGTTTGCGTAATAAGGCATTTTAGGACATTTTAGACTAAAATTACAGTGTGAGGCTGAGGCACAGCATACATTTTAATTATATGACAAAGGCCTGTTACTTTGACAACAGTGCCTGTTTTATTGTCCGTCTGCATGGCGTCTTAGAGAATTCTCTTCTGCAAAAAGCGCAATGTAAATAAAGCTAGTTAATTCATTGCAAATATGCAAAATGCAGCACTTTCAATGGACTTTTTACTGCACAACTGTCAAGTTGTTGCCACCAATGTTTTCTGAAATAGCCCGTCTAGTGAGGATGTCCCATCTGTCCAATCAATGCAATTGTTAATGTGTTTTGTCATCAATTATTTTTCTAATATTCGTCAAACACTAAAGACAACTCTCCACTCTCTACTCGGCACTCTACCTCTTACTGAGTGTACACTTACTGAATTTAAGCTTATCTCTTATACCGAACTTAGACCTTGTTAAACACACTTCATTCAAACAAAACTCACCAAACCGTCTTTATTAGTCTTTACACTGTTCCAACAATCACCAACTCTGGTGTCTAACCGTTTAGGCTCTAGATGGACAGGAATTAAAATAAAAAAATGTTGTCTCTTGTTTGTTGTTGTTTTACTCTACAAGAGGAAGAAAACTGAAACCATTTGAAAACATCAGCTCGGTGCAATGCCACACCATCTATGGCTATGTATCTTTGGTTTCCGTTGTATGGTCATAAATAAATTGAATGTAATGCAGCACTGCATACATCTCCAAACAACTCCAACTTCCCATCCAAATATTTTGTTATATATTTTCTAACAACAAATCAAGTCATTATTTTCTTCACTTTAAACACACACACAGAAACACATCCAGTTCCTGTGAATAATGTTAGGTTCTACTGCCTCAGAGAGGCGAAGAAGAGAGGCCACAGCTTTCTTCCTCTTCTCTCTCCTTTTCCCAGTGTCTTTAAAACAAATCTCTGCAATGCCAACACAACTATTTCTGGTTGGTCTTGGAGAAAATACCAGTGACCTGTATTAAAATGTATTGCTACCCTGTGTTTGATAACTCAGAGCACAAAAGAACTTTTCATTCACTGACTGCATGACTTTCACAAAAAGGGAAAGGGAACAAAGAAAAAGCTTTCACCTTATAGCGAACAGACATATTTCAGATGGGCTTAAGACAAAAATTAAAACGCCTGTTTAAAGTACACACTAACTTGAGCATTTTATCTTTTACTAACATATCATTGCTCCCACTGTCAGTGACATCATCCTTAACTCCAGAGGTCTGCACCAAGCGGAGGAGACAACAGTTATTATTAGATGTGCTGTTCCTGGGCTCTGTACAACACAGCCAGACATCCTGGCAACAACACACACAAGAGCTTTTTAACACATACAAACAAGTTTCAGAAGAGATGCAAGTGTGTGTTTTTTGTGCACAGGTGACCAAGGTCAATCACTACAGGTCAATCCAGTCACTACTGCCACATGACCTCTACAAGTGTCACTCTTCTTTTTTCACCCTCTTCTTTTTTTTAAATCATAAAACAAAATCAGTATGCTCATGTATGTATCTGCATTGCACAGTTTAAGTAAATCAGATTCTCGTTGTTGCACTAACCTGATATCCCACCAGACTACCCAGGGTACACTTCCGCTGTGTGGCAACCCATCGGGCAATACTGGTGGCCCCTAGTTTGCGTGGTTGGGTTACCACAATGTTGCATAAGGCGTTTTTCTCATTGTAGTGGTCCAGAATGTACTGTGGCAGCTGCGTGGTCTTGCCACTGCCTGTGGCTCCTCGAATAATCACTACAGAGTTGTTTTCTATAAGAGAAATCAGCTGGAAGCAGGTGCACACACATACACACAAAACAAAAGTAGAACATGTGCACAGTTAAAACCCCATTTGGCCATTTGTTCCATATCACTGCAATAAAAAATAAATATTAAAATAAGTTATGAAATAGAAGAGCAGATGGATGTGCTAAGCTGATTTGTCACTGGAAGTCCACACTTTATAATCGGCATTAAGAAAGTGCAGCTTAAATGAAAGCATGAGCTCCTAAAATATACACACACACTACTCTTTATTAGTCAACAGAAAATGTTAGAATTTAAAGTTAGCTCTTGTTCTGCAACATTTTCATCTTGAGCAAACAGTAAAAGCTTAAGTGCACCAGTGTCCTGAGGACATAATGGTAATTTCAATAAAAACCCTAACATGTCCAAAAGAAAAAGTACTACAGAAGAATGATAGTGCACTTTCAGACCATCAGGCTTTGTGGATGGGTGTATATGGTGTATGTATGGTACATTGTACCTCCTCTCTGTTTTTGGTTATGGGCAAGCTTGGGTACTCATAGCTGGCAAGTGGAGGAGGGGCAGTACCTAAGGATACTGAATCAAAGACACAAGAAACAATGTTAAACCCATAAAAGGCAGAAGGCATATTCCTGTATATCGGACTATGTAAGTAAGTATGATGTAGGATTAAAAAAAAGCTAACACTAAGTTTAATACTCACTCTCCGCAGGTTCTGGTTTTTGGAACCACCCTCCATCAGCTTTCACATTTTTCCGGCTGCCTTCATCAGGAACCTTTGGTGGGCTAAAACAAAATTAAAGCAATTTTAAGCAGTTTATAAATGTTGAAGCTCTATTGACAAATGAATTGCAATTACACAGAATCTTGCATAGTCTTACAGTAGCCTACTATGGACAAAAAGCCCTATGAGGCAAAGTTATGATTTTGTGACTATATAAATAAAAATGATTTGACAAAAAATGTCTTAAGGATTAAGATTTCCCCTAACATTACAAACATATTTCCATTACTTTCAAAGCCCATACAGCAATCTATTTACTTTCCCTTTTGTACTCATATGTGATAGAGACGGTCCTTCTCGTCTAACCATTGTTCAGCTTACATCGGATAGTTTCATCTCAGAAAGCATGACTGACAAAAACGTAAGAAAAATGACATAAAATTAGAAAATACTCTACATATACATACCATGGATTGGTAAGGACAGGCTTAAAGGACCAGTATGTATGACTTAGTGGTATCTAGCAATATAGTTGCAGATTGCAACCAACTGAATAACCATTTGCCTTCTGAGTGTGTAGCAGAAACTATGGTGGCTCAATATGGTGGCCAATGTAAAAGAGGACCCGCTCCCTCTGTAGATAAAGTTAATTCTAAAAGGTAACAGAAACACGATTTTTATTTTCATGTGATTTAACACTAGTAAAACAATACCTATGGATATTATATGTCATTTCTGCCAATAGATCCTCCTAATAAACACATTTTGGAGCAATTTCAGATATGTGCATCAACTGTGATGCTATGTTTTATTTCTAAATGTAATAACACATAGTACTGTTAATATGCTCTGTTAGATGTCACTTGCGTAGCTACATCTGTTGAGGTTAATATTGGGTACTGCAGCATTTAATGGTATTCATCAACATAGCAACACAGAGAACATATTTTCAGAAATGAAGGTGTTTTTATAATCATTTATAAACCCACTCATTTCTATGTTGCGTACAACTGGGATTATTATTCAAATGTAAGTCCACAGTGGGTGAGCATACTGGAGGCTCTGCCCACATCATTACTTTGTACCATTTGAAACTTTGCTCCAAGTCTCTGCCTCCTCTTGTCTTTCCCTCTGGTCAGTTCCACACGGCCCACAGCACTGTAGCCGGGAGAGCATTCCCAGTTGTCTCTCCCTCTCTTAGTAAAGGGAGGATTTTATCGCAACAGCACAACCCCTGACAGTACTAAGAGGAGCTCAAACACAACACACCCACAGCTCGTGCGCACACATGCACTCTCGTCCTCTTCCTTTCTCTCCAATGCACACATTTCGTGCAAGCTACAAAGCAGCTGACCTTACAACAAAGCAGCACACTGCACAGAGGAGAGTGGGGTGAAAGGAGAGGAGAGGTGACAGCTCTTAGTCAGTTAGCAGTGTGTGACTAACTCTCCTGGAAAAAGTCTGCATGACAGGAGCAGTGGGAGGGATGATAAGAACAAGACAATAACTACAACACAAAAAGGGAAAACGCTTCCAATAACCAGGACACTGGAGGATTGCTGCCAACAATCAAGTGTGCTCCTTTGATGGCATTTGACACCAAGGGATGTAGTCGACAGCAAGTGAAGGAATTAAGTTTACATGGACTAACCCATGGAGACAAGGAGCTGGAGGCTGTACTCTGTGAAAAGCTCATCTTCCCCAATTTCTGAATATCTCACAAAAAAAGCGTCAGCTGTGCAGTTTTCACCTGTAAGTACAGATCTTTCCTTTCAATTTTCAACCAGATGTTAGTGTGATATTTCCTTCCTGCACATGCTGGAAGACTCATTTTGTTTAAGTAGTTATTTTTTGGAGCACTTGCTGTTTTGCAACCTTAAAATGTGTGAAGCCACACATACAGTTTGTGTTCGGTGAGACTGACCTCTGACCCTGCAGGCTGTGTAATCCATCTGAATCCCAGGTGGAAGCTGTGTTGAATCTATCAGTCTGGAAAATAAGCCAAATACACACACCTGGGACATTGTCCCTCATCAAGTCTGACTTGAACTGAAGGGAATCAGAGCACCCATCAGGCAGGGACCAGAGGTCAGCTTAGTGATCATCTTTCATTGTCAACCTTAAAATGTGTATTATAGTAGACCTATATCGTTAGGGATAAAATGGGAATTAACATCCTTCCTTAGAATTCAGGTTGTGAATTTTCTCACATATTGTCGTCTTTGAAGGGGAAAATGTGACCCCGTTTTCAGGACAAGTACAAGATTTGATTAAGAATAGGGTTATAAACATTTATTTAGTAGTTTAGTATTAATCACAAGCAGGTTTTTATTGTTCTTGACTCATTTTATCTTCATATTTTCCTCACTATTACTTTTCCATTTCTTTCTCTCATGTTAGATCTTTTTACTTTTGCTTCATCTGCCTTTGTGAAGTTTGTCACGTGATCTAATGTGGCCTTGTCATTAGATCAGGAGACATTCTAAGAGAAATTAGCTCTTGGTTTTAAGCAACATATATTCGAGCTTATTTAACTGTGTTAAAAAAAAAACTGCTGTGATCTAGAATAAAAAATTATACTTGTCTCTTCAGTTTTCCAGGACTGTCTGCTGTGACTGCCATGCCCCTGTTCAGCTGGATGAAATGGTCCCATGACTCAAGAGTGCAGGCTCAGGATGAAGCAGCACCTCTGAAGACTTCGGGTGTCATACCCAGTTGCATGTTGATCAGAGAGCTCCTGTGGCATGTGGAGGAACGTGAGCGGCTGGCGAGGGAGCTGGAGCGGGAGCACAGGCTGGCCCACAGCACCCTGGGTCTCCACTGGTTTCAGAAGTACCCCAGGTTACGGACCCTCATCCCCACATCAGAGCTACACCAGCTGGAGTTCCTGTGTGCCCAGATCCCACCCATCCATGCAGCCACCGTTCTCTCCAGGTGCTCCATCCTCACATTAGTATGCTGTCAACAGTGGCTAGCTGCTACTGCATCAACACAAGGCCTGACAGCAGGCAAAGCAGAGAAGACCCAAAGGGAAAGGGAGGCAGGGCGAGCTGCCAAGAAAGCCATTATGTGTTACTGTCACAAAGGCAGGCAATATAGAGTGTGAACATGTGAAGGTGAAGGATGCCCTGTAAGGCTAAATGAAGCTAGACTGCGGGGGTTTCCACTCATCATCTCTATGTTAGCCATAATGATATAAAAAAAGGCTGAAGAGTTGTTCTACATGGTTGAGCACTGACCTACTTACTTATTTGCCATATAACTCACTACTGGGTCACTACTGTGTGCTTACATAACCACATTACCAAAGAATAACACATTTAGTAAGAAACGTGTTATAATGTTTGTACCATTTCCAAATAAACGGTGCTGTTGTCCCAGATATGTCATTCTAGAAACTATGAGGCTCAACAGCTGAATGAACATCCAGGTCTTTTTTGCAATGGCTGAATTATAACAGTACCAGTTGAAAATGTGGGACGCCGACACAGTGTTGTTGAAAATGCTTGGTACTTCAACTAGAGTTAAATTAACTCTATTGCTTGCATCCTTCCATAGGTTTCGTGAGGTGCTTGCCACTAACAACATAAGGCCCTGGGAGCTGGCGTCTGTCTTCAAGCAGGTGCTGAGGGACTTCCTGAGCGAAAAGGAATATGATGAAGAGGACGACCTCTCAGTGCAGCCAGCACAGCTTCGACCAATGGAGGCTTGGACCAGCCGCTACAAAATGAAGCAGGGCTTTGTCACACCCACCGTCCCCAACTGTGGCGACCACCCGAGGGAGGAGATCCCAACAATCTCCGGATATGTGGACCGGGCCATGCGGTATTCCGGTTCGTTCATAGGGTCCAACAGGGACTGGGACCTTCCATACAACTATCCAGCTCCTCTCAGGCCCACAGGGGCATACAGCACCACACTGTGAGACGACACACTGTTCAAAATGTCTGAGGCCCTGTGTTTAACACCAGGAGAAACCGTTATCACATCCTCAGCAAGAAGACGAGATGCAAAAACTTGATTATTTGTATTAGTTGTAAATATATCATAGCTTGTGACCAAAAAATGTTAAGACAGCATTAGGCTAGGTGGACAATGCATTCAAATGTTTCATTTAAAACAACTAGTTTGTCACCTGCTCTTGCTAATCCCTTCCTGATGGACTGTTTTTATGTAGATTTTGTTCGGTTGGGCATGTCATTTTAATTGTTTACTGTCAGATAGTGAGTGTTATGTCATAAGGCCACAGGATGTGAATACATACGTGATCTGGACCATGTGTTCCCAGGCCTTTGTGGTATGTGAGTCTTTGAAGTGAAGCAATGTCTACTTGTGACTGTTTTTCACAGGCTGAAAATGTCAGTTTTTAGATTACTAAACAAGGTAAGACTGTAAAGTCAAATAAAAAAAAATAATAAAAGGAGTAAAGATCATAGGAAACTCAACTAAAACATAAACGTAGAATTTATGTAATCGTTTTATTTGTCTCATCTCCTGACTTGTTAATCAACCTGTGACCCCCAGGTTTGGAGCCACTGATCTCGTAGCTAACAAAAAGCAGTACGCAACAGTTTAATACTTATAGCAGATTGTGAAGGTTTAAGGAAAGTTTGGTTACACTGAGGTCATGTTTGAACTACCTGGGAATGTGACATTTTATGGTTGCTAAAAATTATACATATTTAAAAACAGACCCAATAACCCACTTAATTAAAAAATGTTGTATTCCTTGCAGCATTGCAAAGTGTTGGGGAAAAAATACAGAAAATAATAAGAATTTTTGGTCTGTGTTTGGAACTTAATGTGGGAGGCAGAAGAGGTCAGCATTTCTGAAATCTTGGATATTAATAATGCAACACACACACACACAAATCTTACCTCAGAATTTCACCAGAGTTGATATTTAACATTATTTTGGAAACCTCATTCACATTTTTAATATGTCCATACACTGTCGAGCTGAGTCAGCTTTCTTCTATTACTGTGACACACAGACACAGTTTAGACTCGTTTAATTAACCTTAAGCACAAAAACCTAGCTAAAACATCACCTTTTTGTGCTGTTATACCTTTGTAAAAAAAAAAAAAGAAAGTGCAATGGGTCAGGGTCCCACCATAAAAGACGTGACACCTGTTAGCGAGCATGAGGTGAGCTAACTAGAAGCTAACGTTTCACCTGGTTTCCTTCGACGACGGTTCGTCCAGTTTTCTTTCCGCCGCCTCTTCTGTGAGTTTAACGTTAGCAAATGTCGTCCCCGAGATGAACCAATCCGAAATTTGCTCTGCGGTGAACACTTTCTTCATCTTGCAGGTGTTTACAGTGACTGCATTTTAACTGTCTGTTCTTCAAACTTAACGCGAGCCAGGAGATTGAAGCGCGTGAGGAGGACTGCGCTCTACATCGCCCCCTCGAGGCCGGACTGAGACTCACAAAACTGAAGACTATGAAGACTATTCTGCGTTTAAACATCATTTATTCTGCTATATATTATATACTGTAAAAATATAGAAGTAAAAGCCTTGCATTCAAAAGTTTACTGAAGTATAGAACAGAATCAGAAGTATTAAAAGTGAACATACTCATGCGAAATGGCCCTTATCTGTTTTATATATCATTTAACTCTAAATTTAAATTTTAACTCTCAGTGATTTATATAGTTTTGGGCAGTTTTAGCTATAACAATGCATTATATGTTACATTTCTATGTAAAGTACAGTACTTATGTAGTAAGAAGTACATGTACTTTCCATAACTGATACCACATGAATGTAACATGTGTCATATCTAGTATTAGTAAGTCAAAAGCTACTAGTCTTCAACTTTTGATTTACCACTATTAAATATCCAAACACCTGAATCACGTAAGTTTTTGTGATGAAATAGTTTTTACAGTCCCATTACTTTAACTGTTCAGAAGAAGAAAAAAAAAAAATCACACAACATGAAGATTAAAATTTACTAGAGGTAAAAAGAATAATAAAAATGACATTATTTTCATTATGCTAAAAAAAAAAGACATATACCCCAGTATGATGGGAAAAATACATCAAATCATATGCCATGGATAGATCTCAGATGATCAGTCAACAATCACAGCACCAGACATAAGCACCTAAAACACAGTTTTCACATTAAGGTATTATTCAGCTTTGTGGTCTGAGAACAATGTGACTAGGTGTACTAATGTACACCCAGAGCAAACTAACAAGAAAAGATGACTAATGGAAGTTATGTCACAGCTGGTCTGGCCATGCTGCTGTAATAGCAGAGGTAAAGGTACAGTAAGCCTCCACGTAAAAAACTGTAGGAGGTGTTATAATATAAGCAAAATCATTACAGCACATTCCCTGAATGAAAAAAGAACAAAAAAACATGAATCACAATGCCTTTGTACTTGAAACCATTAATAGAGTGAACCAAATTAATAGTAGTAGGTAAAAATATAAAATAAACATTTCTTTTCACTGGGAAAGATGCAAGTTCACCTTCATTCAAAGGATTTTAAACCTAAAAATTTAAGTCATCTCCAGTGGCGGACATCCAATGTGGTCTCGCATTAAGCCCATCTCCGTTCTGAGCTTTTCATTTTCCTTTTAAAACAAAATAAAAAGTTGATTGACGTCATTAACAGTATTCATATGACCAAAAAGAAACATCCTTTGATGATAGCAGAAATGTTACTTACCTCTTGAAGCTTGGTGTTTTCCTTTTTCAGCTTCACCAGATATTCAATCCTCTGTTTGTGGTTCCTATGCCCCACAAGTTTGCCATTCTCCTCAGACAGCTGAATGTTCTGCTTACGGAGAACATCGTTTTCCTGTAAGACCGATAAATATATTAGTACTCAGTCGACAGAAGATTAAAAGGCAACAGTTTTGATAATGGATGAATCATTTATGTCACAGACACCCTCTTGTTTCAGTTTTTCCAATGAGAGGATTTGCAGCTTTTCTCTTTTTATATTAGTTTAAACCGTCGGTCACACAGCAAGACATTCCAACAAGCCTCTGTTATATATATATATATATATATATATATATATATATATATATATATATATATATATATATATATATATATATATATATTTTTGGATAGGATAGCTCAACATAGACAAGAAAGGGGGAGAAAATGAATAATAACTGGTGTTAATGCTGGCTCACCGTCACACTTTACTGGGACACAAACAGAGCCATCATTAAAGGCATACTATGCAGGATTTTCCTAAGAAACAACGTAGATACCCATACAAACATAATACCTCTCAATCATCCCTTATGACCCACTACAAGTGTGTGGCCTTGCAACCCTTTCCCTGCAGTTCTCAGGACTGTCTTTTTGACCGAGGGCAGACATGGTGAAGCTGCACTTCAGCTGAATTTACACAAAATCCAGAAATATGGCACCTTCCTGCAGAATTTCAATAATGTAAAATAATGTTTTATTTATCTGATTTACTGCTTTGTTCTCGCTAACGTCGCTCCCTCTCCTCGTTCATTCTCTATGTATTTCGACCAAAGGTGCTCTCTGGCTCACCTGTGCTTGGGGAAGAGGGATCAACTTTGAATGGTGCATTTACAAACAGCAACAGACAAATCTTGCATAATATGGCTTTAATGTCATTAATAGCACATTGGAGTTTCCTACTATATAACTGGTCAAAATGCCTCAAGTAAAAAAAAGGCCTCAAGATCAACTTGTGTTTGAGGAAAAATATTACATTGTGCCACCTTAATCAGAGAGAAATATCATTAACCAACCCCAAACCCTTATTCCCAGTCTTCCTCTTGAGAATGTGAATATGCATACTAAATGTCAGCTACTGACTAAGTTGCCTGTAGTACATTTCATCATACTTGAAAGCTACATCATCCCAAAATGTTCTTGACTCAAAGATGTACTAATCTAGTCCAGTTCTGACCTGGAGCAGTTTCTCCTCATCCTGTATCCGGTGGTTCAGCTCCCTCAACTCTAGACAGCGGTTCCTCAGCTCATTGGTCAGCTCCTGAACACAGGTTTGAGACTGGGCCACCATAGACTCCTGTGCCTGCAGTCTAATGCACAGCAAAAAACATAAAAAATAAAAGACAAGCTTGTCAAATCTCAAGCATTAACTAAGAAACAGCATACAATAACGAAAGGAGTTTACCTTTTTTGGGTGTCAGACAGCTTCTGCATGACTTTGCTCTGTTAACAAATGAGAAACAAATAATTAATTGATTATCTAATAAAGAGAAAATAACCAGCAGATAAACAAATACAAACCTTCTCTGCTCTCTCCTCTTGTAGCTCTTTAAGTACAGACTGCTTAAGGGCATCATTCAACTCCTCACTGAAAAGATAACGTTATTAATTTCACTTACACCATCAACAGTGGATGATTAGATGCATTTAGGGCACTTGACTGCTTAATGACTAGATGAATAAACTTTATTACCCATTATTATTTCCATTCTGGGTCTGCTTGGTGTAAAACTGGTCAAGTAAAGCCTGGATCTCCATTCGGACCATCTCTTTCTCAGTCAGCTGCATCTGAGGACAGTGAAAACACAGTATCAATATTGATGAACTACAAAGTCCATTAAGACCTTAAACCTTTTTAAATTGTGTTGAGTCTAGAGGCTAGTCTTTTAGTCCAATGTTGAATGGCTATGGATTAATTTAACTATTGCACAAAGATATACCTTAAGCCTTTGGATCTCCTCGTTCTTGGCAGCCCTCTCCGCATTCAGCTCACTCAATAGAATCTCCATGGTCATCATGGAGGAGCGGCGATTCTCCAGCTCTCTCTCCTGGCTCTCTAGCACCTGGGTCAGATCCCTGTTGAAGCTTCCTGGAGTGCAGGGTGTCTTTTACACAGAGAGAGAGAAAGAAAAAAAAAAAGATTAGTACATGTTGCATTTTCTGACAGCAAATCAAAAATATTAAACTGGCCACACATTTTATTTGTGAATGCAGAATTAAGGAACAAATAAACCTCAAACAAGTCTTACCCGAGGTAATGATTTAGGTGTAAATGTCGGCTCAACAAAAGGTTTGAAATTGCCATTTCGGATAGTTTTTTCAACAGCTTCTTGCTGTTGTTGCACCTGGTACAAGATGAGTGTTGGTATTTAATAATGTTGATAAGATGTTACTGATACTGATTATTTGCTCTGAATATAAAAACAACTTCACCTTCTGCTGTAAATTCTGTATCATGACGTCCTTCTTGGCGGTTTGCTCCTGAGATGCTTGGAGCAGGCTGTTCTGCTCATCTAAGACCTTAGTGAGTCTCTCAACCTCCTCAGTGGCATAAACAACCTCCTCCTGCAACACCTCCACCTGAGGACAGACAGACATTATCTATATTGTAGCTTCATTAATAAGCCTATTTTTTATTTACTATCTACAAAAACTGGTTAGAACATTAATCACTTGCAGTAAATCTACAAACATTCACACAAAATGTATGAACATGATCAAACTTACCTCTATCTTGTTGGATGCTAAACACCGGTCCAAAGTTTCTTTCAGGTCACAGATTTCAGTCTGCAACTTAGAGTACTGCTCCCTGATATCCTCCCTTTCAAGGCAGGCAGTATTGTACTTGGCCTGGAAAAGCAATGACATAATTATTATGATGTCATTATTATTAATTATCTGACCAATTCAAACATAAAACCTATATACAGCATGAACATGTAACTATAGAAAACAATTAAGTTATTTAAGACAAATACAGGTTGAAATAAGAGGAGGAATAGAGTACTGTGATGTCTTTGATGTCTTCAGACAGGTGGGTAATGGTCTGGTCCTTCTGGCTCAGCTCACAGCGGAGGTCTCTGGTTTGGTTAATCAGATCTAAAACAACGTCCTATCAAAATACACAGGCGGGATTCAGGAGGATAGAAGACACACTGCATATTTAAAGAAATAAGAAATTTGAGAGAATTATTCACTCTGGCTTACTTTGTCCTGTTCAATCTTCTGCTCCAAGCCTTTTATCATTTCATTGGCAGAGTTTAGATTTTGCTCAAGATCAACAATTTTGGATGCCTTCAAAACAAAATTGGACATCCAGGCTTAGTAACTGAGCTGTAATTACTGTTATGACAAATAGTTATAATTTTTAAAACATGCATACTGTTCTTGGGACTGACCTGTTGCTGATTTTGAACTGTCAGGTCTGAGACTTGTTTCTTAAGCTGTGTATTCTGCTCCACAACTTCAATAAGTTCTCTGAAGGCATACACCAAGGTCACTCATGTTAATATAAGTTATTTTGAAAACTATAAACTATAAAACAAAACAAGGACAAAGCTGTCAAAAAGACTGGAAAAAACTCACTTTGATGTATTTTCTTTGTTTTCTCTTAACTGGGAGATCAGGGTGCTTGTGTGCTCCTGCTCAGTCCGTAAAGAATTACTCAATTCCTACAATAGAAAAAAAGAATAATTTAAGAAAATAAAAGACAGATAGGAAATCACAGCCTACATTTCAGGATAAACAAATAGTTGAGTTTATGAGTTCACTAACCGTGAGCTGTGCTTTCAGTTTATCAATCTCCTGCTGCCTGTCCTGCAGCTGTTGTCCTGCCTGATCAGCCTCAAACTTGGCCTCGGCTTGCAGCTGGTCAAATGAATCCTGCAGTGTCCGATGCTGCTCCAGAAGCTGCTCCCACTCGAGCCTGGGATGAAGACATGGTAGGTGTGGGCACATAAACATATCAGATCAAGAGTCACAATGCAGAGGTGTTAGATTCACACTTACTGGACTTTGTCAAGTTGAAGCTGTGTGCTGATGAGACTGTTGGAGAGCTCACTCATCTCTCGCTGCTGCTCACTCTGGCCGTCTCTTAGCTCGTTCTTTGCGGTGGCCAGCTCCTTATCGGATGACTGCAGCACCAGGCGTAGATCACGGATCTCACTCCTCAGCACTGACAGGAAGGGAAAGAAAGAGTCATCAACTTTGTACTCTTATCCCTACCTTCTTCTGACAGAAACATGAGCAAAAGTCTAGGTGCACAAACAGGTGATTAATACAGAGGAGAAACTTAAGAACTTTACCTTCTGCAGTTTGCTGTTCAGACTGAAGGCTCTGTTGCAGCTCGCTGACAGTTTGTTGCAGGTTGAGCTGATCTTTGTTCTTGTAAGCTCGCTCAGTAGACAGCAGCTGCATCAGGTGCATCAAGAACAATTAAGAAAACAGAATAGTTGAATTTAGGACATCATGTTTTTCCAATTCCAGCAGATCCAATGCTTTTTTTTTTTTTTTCTTTTCAAAATTAAATTTAGACAAGACAAAACTGTATATGAGAAACATGAGGAGATTCTACCTCATCCTTGTGGGCACATTCTTGTGATATCACAGCGATCTGCTCCTCAAGTTTGGCAATTTGCTGCAACAGCTTGCTGTTCTTTAGCTCCTCCTCATTCAGTTGTGTCTGGACACGACTAGTTTGCTCCTGATGATAAATTAGAGAGCGTATGAGACAATGAGAGGACATTTTTTGAACACACATTTAAGGGATAATCCCCATTTCTGTACCTGCACTTGACGCAGTTCCTCAGTCAAGGCCATCTCGGTCATGTCTGAAGGAGGCTGCTCATCCCAAATATCGTCTGCATTATCATCTGTCCCATTCAGGTGGTCTGGGCTAGAGAGAGGCACGATACGGGACCGCAAGTTGTATGCTTTGGTGGGCGTGGTGAGAATCTGATGTAATAGATATTTGAAAGATAAAGAAATTTGTTATAGAATCTGCAAGGCAATGATATTAATATTTCAATAAGTATATTGAATAAAGAGAGGTCATAGTTTTCCTCACAGAGATCTGAATACAAATTTCAACACTGACTCACCTTAATAGTTTCAACGTGAATTCTGTTCAGCTCACAGACCTCCTGTGTTTTGTAAGTGTTTGTGGCTTCCAAAATGTTTTCCAAATGCCTGTTGGACTTGTCAAGGTATCTTTTCTCAGACTCAAGCTGAGACATCTGTTTCCTAGAACACAAAGCACCATCCAAAGACAACATTAAGCCCTGCAAAACATACTTTATAAGTCTAAAAAGGCATACAGTTATGAAATATGTATTATAATAGTCTAAGTAAAAACAGCTTCTTCCTGAAGCTAGTAATCAGAGATGTGCAGTAATATTTTAATGTATGCAAATGTGGATTTAATTAGTAGGGGAAGATTGTAACATCATCAGATACTTGGAACAGAATGATACCATTTTTCCAAATTAACAAGCCCAAATGGAAGTCAGGAAACTAAGATACTTTCTCTAATTATATGACTGCATAAAGTCTATTTGGCCTTATTTTACTGTACAGACGGCAGTTATTAACAAAAAAAGAATGTGTCCATGAAAAGTGCCTGTACACTATGTGCTCACAAGTTTCCACTATTTACAGTTACTGGATTTCAGGATGGCTAAAGGTCTTGGCTTATTTTTCTAGCTTTAGGAGGGTCTTGTTCCCAAACATCTGCTAAGCTTTTTTGGATACTGCCCATGTGAATCTGGTTTAAGAGTGGTTTTCTTCATTAAATACCCTCCTTACTTGGTTACTTCTTTGTACTCCTCAAAGGCATGAAGGGCGGCTGCGAGGTCGGACTGTTTCTGAAGCAGCTGAGCCTTCAGCTTTTCAGTTGTAGCTGCCGAGACAGCGTCTGCAGTCACAGAGGTTGAAGAGGCTGCTGGAGCTGTGGAGCAACATGAGTTTAATGAGATGTATAAAGATATAGGATATAATACGTTTACTTGACCTTTTCTCTGATGAAGCTGATTATTATCTTACTCTCTGTGAGTCTTTCTGTCTCCATGGCCCTCTGGAAGGCCTCATCCAGCTCAGCAGCAACTGTGGCTGCAGCCTCTTCAGATTTCACCACTGATTCAAGAGAACGGAGCTGACGGTTCTCTTGTCTGAGACTGAAGTTCTCTGCTGCATATCGGGTCATCTTTGGGTGATGTTCAACCTAAAAGGTCAGAAAGGTGTACATAAAAAAGTGTGTCAAACACATTCAACTTTTTGGCCATTATTTCATGAAAAATAACTAAAACAGAGGATCTAAAGAATCCTGTTGAGCCTTTCAGAGTAAGCAATGATGAAGAAACTCATCTCGGATTTTGGAGGAAATAGATTTTGTCATTATAATTGTCCAGAGTGACTTTATAGGGCTAAAAAGAACACTGCAGAGTGTCCACACATTATAACATACTGTCATCAGCAGTGGGTTAGGCAGTGCTCAAATGGTATTAGATTTTGTACCTGATCTCTCAAGATCTTTATCTCTTCTTTCAGCTGGTCAATCAGAGCCTGAGACTCCTTGTCTGACAGTAATCCTTGTCCTTCCTTCAATTTCCTCTCAAGGCGAGATATGTGGTCCTCTCGAAACCTGACAATCATTCGGCTGGAATGGATGAACTTGTCTTTCTGGGTCCAGGCTTCCTCAAGCTGAGCCACCTTCTGGAGCAGCATCTGAGTGCAGTCAAACATTACTGTAAGTTTTCCTGTATCAAAATTATTTCCTCACGGCAACATCATTTTCAAAATTAAATGACAATGCAAAAAAACATTTTCCATACCCTCTTCTCCTCTTCTCGCTTCTTCCACAGACGAACAGCAGCCATAAACTTTGCTTTATATGAGACATTATGTTGAATTTCGTTGGATGGACCTGATGAGAAAAGCTGATTTACACTTTTGCAACATGCCAGAAATTGTTTTTATAAAAACATATAACCTTATATGTAATACCATAGCTTGAGTTACTGTATAGTGAAAGTGGCTTAAAGAGGATGTTACTTTAAGTGTGTTAAGATTGACATTACGTTAGATCCATGTACCATTACCCGTAGGGAGTTCAGGTCCGCCTGGCGCCATATCTCTCCCATAGTCCACTGCTTGAGAAGCCAGTGCCTGTGAAAGCTGCTCCTTCAGCTTCTTCACCTCAGCTTGTAACTGCCTCACATTTCCCTGTGTGTCTTCATTGATAATGGCCTGACAGAATAATTACACAAGGATGAGATTATAAGGTGCTCTAATTTTGAAATCACCAGAACTTAGTTAAGTCTGGTTTAACACAATATAGAGTTGGGTTTAAAGACAGATACCTTATTCTTGATTAACTTTGCTCTCTGAGCGAACTGCAGGGTGGACAGCGTTTCTCCAAAACACTTTGAACCAGGGTGTACATTGGCTATGATGTAAGTCTTTGCGTTTCCTCCAAGAGAGTCCTGAAATAACAATGTAATTGTAGCAGTGCATATTATCTACTCAAATTCTGAATAATTGCAGGGGAGTTAACTCCCCACTGACACACAGCAACATCAACAGAATACATACTCCACCAAAACACTGACCCTTAGCAAGAAGGTGAGTTTAGAATCCCTGTAGCAGATGTGGCGGTTCTTCCCATTGGACACATCAACCAGTGCCATGATCACCTGACCAAGGCACATCAGGGAGCGATTGATACTGCTGGCCTCCTAAAAGAGAAGAAATGCAGAGAACAGCGTTTAGCAGCAGAAAAAAATCATGAATGTAGTACCTCAGTATAGGACTGTATTCAGCGACCTCACCTTGAGTCTGGAGCCTTCTGTGTTTGTGTCTTTCTGCCTCTCAGAGCCAGCCAGATCTACCAGGTTCAGCTGAGATGTTCGGATGTTCACCACTTCATTGATGGACTCTTTGGACTCCAAAGTCATGGTGAACACAGCATGAGATCTAGAAGACTCACGGTTCATGGAGGTGGAGGCAACTCGTCGATTACGCCAGCCCATAGACAGAACCTAAGTGGTTTCAAACACAAATTCTGTAAACCCTCACAGTACATTTCATAGGATGGCCCCCTGCGTTTATTAATTGTCAATTTAATGTGATTTTAACCTGGTAATAATTTGACACTGCTCAATAAACAATAAAATAAAAAAAATGCTTTATACTGCACAAAATTATTTTTCACATTATGATGATGGAACTGGATACAAGATATAGGAATATAGGCGTTTCATCCCCTCTAACTAGTCAGACAGGAGTGTTTTGTATTGTATGTATAATTTAAGTACAATAACCTTCTATGTGTCACAACAAGCAAGCAATATATACCTGGTAGGCTTCAGCTGCTGAGTTGACGAACTTCTCCACAGCTCCCTCAACAAATAAACCTTTCTTGATGTTCTCCCTGAGGAAAAGGCTGGCTGAGGCTGTGTCCAGAAGGTCATAAATTTGTTCATTGTATATCTCAATAAATGAACATTTGCAAAGGAAGCTCTTGGACTGGCCAGACTTTAAGAAAAAAGAATAAACAAAGCACCAAATTAATAACAAAACAAACATGAAATAGTGGTTCACAACACCAACACACACATATGTTAGAGCTCACCCTTTCCACCTCTCTGTTGATGAGAAAAAATAGGTATTCAAAACTTCGAGGAATAACCCCCCTCAGTTCATCCGTGAAGTTATCCAACTCAGATGGACCTAGAGCGAGAGAGGAAAAAAATTGTTATTCTATTGCTAGATCTTAAAGAATTTGTACTACACAATGTAAACAATATATTGAATTCTCACCAAGCATGGTGAAGGTTTTCCCTGAGCCCGTTTGTCCACTGCAGAAGCAAAAGAGGAATCAGAAAAGGAACTGAATGAGTGCAGCACAGAGTGATTGTGCCATAAAATATTCTTAATTTTATACTGCAAATAAACATCATAAAAAACACTTACTAGGCAAATATAGTTCCGTTATATCCATTCATGCAAGACTCAACAATATTCTTGGCCACACTGGAGAATACAGAGTCCTGTTGAAGAAGTGATGAAGTGATAAATATCACGCACACACACCAACCAGGACTAACTTTACGAGCTGTACAGGCTACATCCCCGCTCACAAATCAGGTTTCTATTGAACATTCAAGTTAGTTTTACTCATGCCAGTTGTATGTTGATAATACAATAACTGTGTGCTCCCAACCTGAGATGTGTCCATGTCAGCAACATGATCATAGGTGAAGGTTCGTGGCTCTGGTTTTGAGAGCAGACGGATGGTGTTGGATGAGGTGACTGTGAGACACATACTCTGATCTCCATCTGTGGTCAGCCCAGTACCCTGGGTCACAGGTCTCACTCGCACAAAAACTTTGATGCAATCGCTGTCACTGCTGTAGGACCAGAAATAAAAGTAAGAACATTAGCCTTAAAACATACAAACTGAAGTTAGGTAAGTGTTACCACAGCTGGACATCTTTATTCCACTGTAGCTGTTCTAATTGTACATTGACTATTAGGTGTACACAGTAAATCTAAACCGAATAGTCAAAGTCACAATCGCTTTATAAATAAAAAAAATAACCACACAGATAACTTACAGTACATATTTGGTATTAGCCCTGAACCAGGACCGTATAAGTTGTTGTTATTTGTTTGGACGACACAAGCAAAGAGCCATAAAGGTACATTACCTGACAGCAAGTTGGGATGAATCGGCAGAGCCTGTCAAAATTATAACATCGTTAACGATTGTTTACTTGTTAGTTTCACTCCCTAAAGCGGTATATACGTTATATACGTAGTGTATATCACGTTATGTTACACTACTATCGTTCGTTAAGTCAGAAAACCTTTAATTGTTGCGTACAAAATGGCTACATATCAGTTTAGTCAGCTAACGTTAAATGTTAGCTGTTTCCAAACAGGTTAACGTTAAGTTAAGTTATCTTGCTAAGGTTACCAAACAACAGCGACTCTTAGCGTCAGTAAGTCCGTCTGTCTGTCTGTGGCATGTTGACAGCGTAATAGTTCGATAAATGAATAAATACCTTTTCCACCGGAATTCATTGCTGACAAAGAAATGTTCGCAATGTTTAAATTATTCTTCATAGCAGAGACAGAAAGAGGCTGATACTGTTTACATCGCTCAAAATTGGCGGGTAGTGGGCTTCCTCTTCTTCTTCGTTTGATATCGGCCTCCAAACCAGCCGCCATACTGACACCTACTGTACCGGCGTGTTACAACACCCTGACTTCAGTAACAGTCCTGTCTGTGGACGTGGACGTTAGAGACCTAATGTATACTGTCAGTGTTAGAGACCTAATATATACTGTCAGTGTTAGAGACCTAATATACTGTCAGTGTTAGAGACCTTATATATACTGTCAATGTTAGAGACCTTATATACTGTCAATGTTAGAGACCTTATATACTGTCAATGTTAGAGACCTAATATACTGTCAGTGTTAGAGACCTAATATATACTGTCAATGTTAGAGACCTTATATATACTGTCAGTGTTAGAGATCTTATACTGTCAGTGTCAGAGACTTAATATATACTGTCAGTGTTAGAGACCTTACATATACTGTCAATGTTAGAGACCTTATATATACTGTCAGTGTTTGAGACCTAATATATACTGTCAATGTTAGAGACCTTATATATACTGTCAGTGTTTGAGACCTTACATATACTGTCAGTGTTAGAGACTTAATATATACTGTCAATGTTAGAGACCTTATATATACTGTCAGTGTTAGAGATCTTATACTGTCAGTGTTAGAGACCTTACATATACTGTCAGTGTTAGAGACCTTATATATACTGTCAGTGTTAGAGACCTTATATATACTGTCAATGTTAGAGACCTTATATATACTGTCAGTGTTAGAGACCTTATATACTGTCAATGTTAGAGACCTTATATACTGTCAATGTTAGAGACCTAATATACTGTCAGTGTTAGAGACCTAATAACTGTCAGTGTTAGAGACCTAATATACTGTCAATGTTAGAGACCTAATATACTGTCAATGTTAGAGACCTAATATACTGTCAGTGTTAGAGACCTTATATACTGTCAATGTTAGAGACCTAATATACTGTCATTGTTAGAGACCTAATATACTGTCAATGTTAGAGACCTAATATATACTGTCAATGTTAGAGACCTTATATATACTGTCAGTGTTAGAGATCTTATACTGTCAGTGTCAGAGACTTAATATATACTGTCAGTGTTAGAGACCTTATATATACTGTCAATGTTAGAGACCTTATATATACTGTCAGTGTTAGAGACCTTATATATACTGTCAATGTTAGAGACCTAATATATACTGTCAATGTTAGAGACCTTATATATACTGTCAGTGTTAGAGATCTTATACTGTCAATGTTAGAGACTTAATATATACTGTCAGTGTTAGAGACCTTATATATACTGTCAATGTTAGAGACCTTATATATACTGTCAGTGTTAGAGACCTTATATATACTGTCAATGTTAGAGACCTTATATATACTGTCAGTGTTTGAGACCTAATATATACTGTCAATGTTAGAGACCTTATATATACTGTCAGTGTTTGAGACCTTACATATACTGTCAGTGTTAGAGACTTAATATATACTGTCAATGTTAGAGACCTTATATATACTGTCAGTGTTAGAGATCTTATACTGTCAGTGTTAGAGACCTTACATATACTGTCAGTGTTAGAGACCTTATATATACTGTCAGTGTTAGAGACCTTATATATACTGTCAATGTTAGAGACCTTATATATACTGTCAGTGTTAGAGACCTTATATACTGTCAATGTTAGAGACCTTATATACTGTCAATGTTAGAGACCTAATATACTGTCAGTGTTAGAGACCTAATATACTGTCAGTGTTAGAGACCTAATATACTGTCAATGTTAGAGACCTAATATACTGTCAATGTTAGAGACCTAATATACTGTCAGTGTTAGAGACCTTATATACTGTCAATGTTAGAGACCTAATATACTGTCATTGTTAGAGACCTAATATACTGTCAATGTTAGAGACCTAATATATACTGTCAATGTTAGAGACCTTATATATACTGTCAGTGTTAGAGATCTTATACTGTCAGTGTCAGAGACTTAATATAACTGTCAGTGTTAGAGACCTTATATATACTGTCAATGTTAGAGACCTTATATATACTGTCAGTGTTAGAGACCTTATATATACTGTCAATGTTAGAGACCTAATATATACTGTCAATGTTAGAGACCTTATATATACTGTCAGTGTTAGAGACCTTATACTGTCAATGTTAGAGACTTAATATATACTGTCAGTGTTAGAGACCTTATATATACTGTCAATGTTAGAGACCTTATATATACTGTCAGTGTTAGAGACCTTATATATACTGTCAATGTTAGAGACCTTATATATACTGTCAGTGTTTGAGACCTAATATATACTGTCAATGTTAGAGACCTTATATATACTGTCAGTGTTTGAGACCTTACATATACTGTCAGTGTTAGAGACTTAATATATACTGTCAATGTTAGAGACCTTATATATACTGTCAGTGTTAGAGATCTTATACTGTCAGTGTTAGAGACCTTACATATACTGTCAGTGTTAGAGACTTAATATATACTGTCAATGTTAGAGACCTTATATATACTGTCAGTGTTAGAGATCTTATACTGTCAGTGTTAGAGACCTTACATATACTGTCACTGTTAGAGACCTTATATATACTGTCAGTGTTAGAGACCTTATATATACTGTCAATGTTAGAGAACTTATATATACTGTCAGTGTTAGAGACCTTACATATACTGTCAGTGTTAGAGACCTAATATATACTGTCAGTGTTAGAGACCTTACATATACTGTCAGTGTTAGAGACCTTACATATACTGTCAGTGTTAGAGACCTAATATATACTGTCAGTGTTAGAGACCTAATATATACTGTCAGTGTTAGAGACCTTACATATACTGTCAGTGTTAGAGACCTTATATATACTGTCAATGTTAGAGACCTTACATATACTGTCAGTGTTAGAGACCTAATATATACTGTCAGTGTTAGAGACCTTATATATACTGTCAATGTTAGAGACCTTACATATACTGTCAATGTTAGAGACCTAATATATACTGTCAGTGTTAGAGACCTTACATATACTGTCAGTGTTAGAGACCTTATATATACTGTCAATGTTAGAGACCTTATATATACTGTCAATGTTAGAGACCTAATATATACTGTCAGTGTTAGAGACCTTATATATACTGTCAATGTTAGAGACCTTATATATACTGTCAGTGTTAGAGATCTTATACTGTCAGTGTCAGAGACTTAATATATACTGTCAGTGTTAGAGACCTTACATATACTGTCAATGTTAGAGACCTTATATATACTGTCAATATTAGAGACCTTACATATACTGTCAATGTTAGAGACCTTATATATACTGTCAGTGTTTGAGACCTTACATATACTGTCAGTGTTAGAGATCTTATATATACTGTCAATGTTAGAGACCTTATGTATACTGTCAGTGTTAGAGATCTTATACTGTCAGTGTCAGAGACTTAATATATACTGTCAGTGTTAGAGACCTTACATATACTGTCAATGTTAGAGACCTTATATATACTGTCAGTGTTAGAGACCTTACATATACTGTCAATGTTAGAGACCTTATATATACTGTCAGTGTTAGAGACCTTATATATACTGTCAATGTTAGAGACCTTATATATACTGTCAGTGTTAGAGACCTAATATATACTGTCAGTGTTTGAGACCTTACATATACTGTCAGTGTTAGAGACTTAATATATACTGTCAGTGTTAGAGACCTTACATATACTGTCAATGTTAGAGACCTTATATATACTGTCAGTGTTAGAGACCTAATATATACTGTCAATGTTAGAGACCTTATATATACTGTCAGTGTTAGAGACTTAATATATACTGTCAGTGTTTGAGACCTTACATATACTGTCAGTGTCAGAGACCTTATATATACTGTCAGTGTTTGAGACCTTATATATACTGTCAATGTTAGACACCTAATCTCAAGTTCAACATTTTTTGTGCAGTTACAAACCTCACATTTATCAGTTCCTTTCTTGGTCATAATTAAAGTGTCAGCTATACCTCTTCTTCTTGTTTTTTATGATCATAGTGAAATGTGCATACTGGCTTTATTTAGTTGTATTTACTCAATGTCTGTGCCCTCTTGAAGATAATTAAATATAAACCCCTTTATACTTCCTGTTTATCCCCAAACCTTTGATAAGTCACACAGACTCGATTAGCCTGTACATAAGAATTTACAGATAGGACTGTGATCTAAACTAGTGGTTCCCAACCTTTTTCTTTAAGAGACCCCTTTTCTGTCAGTGAGTAAACTCACTACCCCTGACGGTGGTCAAAGAGGTTTGAAACGCTGGGCTATAGGAGCCTTTAACTATAGAAACACTAGTTTATATGCATTATACCAAATGTTGAAAAACTTCACTCTTGAGGCCATCTTTACTACTGACTGGTTATTAAAATGTCTACTGTATCATATAATATCCACGAAGACACTGCAATAGCACTGTACACTGTAATATACAGAAGAGCACAGTATGGTTAAAAGTTAAAATAAAAACTATTACCATCAAGAATATTACGAGCTAAGCTAAATCAAATGCAGGATTAAATCCAAACTGAGGCTGTAATACACTTCCTGTTTTTGTCTCTTTGAAGCCACAAATTTAAATTTGTTTTGGTCCTTTCTCTAGTGCTCGTGACAACGGGAGAAATCTCCCAGCCTCACTTCCCACTTCGCTCAATCCAAATTACTGTTGTTTTGACACCCTCAGAGTAATCAAGTTTGTATATGTACTCAATAAGATGATCAATTTAGTATCCTGTTATATATAAAGTGTTATTATTCAGGTCCTGGTCGCAATTAAAAACCAGGGTCGAAAAAAAGGATTTTCTCATGGTTACGTGTAGGTGAGTTTTCAGTCGTGGAAAGCATCATCTTGTCATCGCTACTATCTTTGATATTGGCCCTTTGGGCGCAGTCGTCGATTGGATCATATCTGCTCTTTGGCCTGATTGGCTGCCTAACCAGGAAGCGCGTTGCCTTTGAATGTTTCTGGCGATTTTATTGGTGCGTTTCAAGACTTTTAAATTCCAAACGGTTGTCACCCATACA